AATAAACGACTCAATTCCTCAAAACCTTCCCCATGGATATTTAATTGACAATTAAATATCCATGGGGAAGGTTTTGAGGAATTGAGTCGTTTATTTCATTCATGACCAATGACCAAGCGAATAAGAAGACTAAACGAAACAGCCCGTCGAAGGCGCAGGCTTGTTCAACTAGCAAACATCAGTCGTCCGACTAGGAAGGTGGTGTGCCTAGGGGGTCAGCCGTGAAAACATCATAGGCCCTCGTACAGTCAAACCTCCGGCACATCAAGGCGTCCTCCAACGTGCTATACAAGAGGATCGCCACAACTAATGTGACGATTGCGCTCATTCAAGAGTCATGCGTCCATGGGGGGTTAGTGAGGAAACTAGCCACAAACAATCGTAAGTTAGTCTACAGTGAGGGAGATGGAGCACCTTTAATCCTTTAATCCCAAGTAAGCTTCATTAACCCAATTTATTCCCAGGGACCTGGTTGCAGGACAAATCCCCAAAATCACCTTCGGGGATGGGAAAGGGGCCACAGTGGCCTCGGCCTACTTCCCGGGGGATTGAGCTGGGATAGCCACAAGGAAATTAAAGACTCTGGTGGAATACTGCAAGCGGAGGAAAATTAACCCACTTAGATAGTCATTGGCTGCGATGGCAACGCGCACAACGTAGTATGAGCAGCTGACAGGTTTTTTCTGGAGGGTGCCATTGTGGCTGAATGCGATGAACAGTGGATTTTGAACTGGTTGGAGAGGACCGTCTCTCTTATTAGGCCCTAGGATGGCGCGTCTCTGAAAGTTCAGAGACACGTCCCTAGGGTAACCAAGGTGATGTTGTCTTCCGGGATGCTCCCGGATGGCACGGCCACCATTTTGAAACGTTTCGGAAAGCAAAATTCTGCGTTCGGGGCGAGCTTATCCAATTCGAATTTGGTGTCGATGAGGCATCCTCTCGGGCACTCAGAGACGGTGTACAGATAACAGCCTAAACGTTAATCCGCTCAAAACGGTGATGGTGCCCTTTACTAGAAGGAAGAAGTCCAACATAAGGGTACCCACCGCCACCGATCTTAGTAAAAAGGTCAAATACCTAGGAATGAACTTTAACCAGGCGCTAACGTGGAGCTCACATATGGGTAAGGTGATAATCTGATACCAAAGACGACCCTGGCTTCCCAACTTAGAGGCATTCGGACCTAAAGCAAATAAACTGGATAAACAAGGAGCCAGGCGGAAGCCAATAGTGCCGGAGCCTTTCTGTGGACTGCGTAAAAGCCACATACAAGAAGCCCTAAACAAGTGGGAGGATACGAATAGGATCTGGCAGGGGGTACCAGCGGATGCGCAAAACCAAATTTTGCAACTGGCGTTAGATATTCCTATACTCCAAGCACCTATGGATGTCACTTTTTAGGAAAGGATCATCAGATAGTAATCTTCTTCTAAGAAATATTGCAGATATCATAGCTCTGTGGGGTATGGAATACCGCTGGGAATACCCCACGGATAAAAAGAGGATAATGTGACAATTCCAGGAAAAATATGTTAAAAGAGGCATGCCTAGCAAAAGATGACCCAAAGATTACTTTCTCATAATGACCATCTGGGAATGGTAATGGAGTGTGTGTGCTGGGAGGTATTCCATACCCCCCAGATCCCCCGCTTACAGTTCTGCCTACAAAACCTTTAGTTCTCAGGACTCACATGTAATTTTTGGGAAAGGATCATCAGATAATAATCTTCTTCTAAGAAGTTTTGTAGATAGCATAGCTCTAGGGGTTATGGAATACCCCCCTGAATATCCCTCAGCAAAAAAAGGAGGATAATGTGACAATTCCAGGAAAATTATGGTAAAAGAGGCAAGAATTTAAGGCCACCTAGCAAAAGATGACCCAAAGATTACTTTCTCATAATGACCTTCTCGAAATGGTAATGGGGTGTGTGTGCTGGGGGGTATTGGAATACCTACCCCCAGCCCCTAGTTACAGTTTTCCCTACAAAACTTTTAGTTCTCAGGATTCACATGTCTCTTTTTAAGAAAGGATGATCAGATAATAATCTTCTTCTAAGAAGTTTTGCAAATAAAATAGCTCTAGGGGTTATGGAATACTCCCTTGAATACCCCTCAGCAAAATATCGAGGATAATGTGACAATTCCAGGAAAATTATGTTAAAAGAGGCAACGATTTAAGGTCACCTAGCAAAAGATAACTCAAAGATTACTTTCTCATAATGACCATCTGGGAATGGTAATGCGGTGTGTGTGCTGGGAGGTATTCCATACCCCCCAGACCCACCGGTTACAGTTTTCCCTACAAAACCTTTAGTTCCCAGGACTCACATGCCACTTTTTAGGAAAGGATCATGAGATAATAACCTTCTTCTAAGAAGTGTTGCCGGTAACATAGCTCTGGGGGGGTATGGAATACCTCTCGGCAAAAAAAGAGGATAATGTGACAATTCCAGGAAAATTATGTTAAAAGAGGCAAGAATTTAAGGCCACCTAGCAAAAGATTACCCAACGATTACTTTCTCATAATAACCTTCTGGAAATGGAAATGGGGTGTGTGTGCTGGGGGGTATTCCATACTCCCCCAGACCCCCCGATTATAGTTTTCCCTACAAAACTTTTAGTTCTCAGGACTCACATGCCACTTTTTAGGAAATGATGATCAGATAATGATCTTCTTCTAAGAAGTTTTGCAGATAAAATAGCTCTAGGGGTTATGGAATACCCCCTTGAATACTCCTCAGCAAAATAACGACGATAATGTGACAATTCCAGGAAAATCATGTTGAAGGAGGCAACGGTTTAAGGTCACCTAGCAAATGATGACCCAAAGATTACTTTCTCATAATGACCATCTGGGAATGGTAATGCGGTGTGTGTGCTGGGAGGTATTCAATACCCCCCAGATCCCCCGGTTACAGTTTTCCCTACAAAACCTTTAGTTCTCAGGACTCACATGTCAATGTATCACATTCCACTTAAAAGTTTCTATAGATAAAAAAGTTAGTGCTGCAAGGGATCCGCATCAAAAAGTTACCAAACCACCTCAAAATTGAATGTGGCTTATTGGGACCGGGACCTGCCAACTTCACGCCGGTAGACCAACAAACGAAATCCGTTTGATTTTCTACTTTAATCGATCTATCACTATTAGTGATCGTTAGTGTCGCAGAAAAAATGTTAGTGCTCAAAGCTCAAGAACTCAAGCGTGAAATTATGGGTTTTGCTAAATTCATGCAGCAAGCCCACATTAATTTATTAAAGTGGTCCTGCCTTAATGCGAATCTGAAGCTCCTCGTTGGTGGTTAGTTCTTTGAAATATTTTATTGAGTTAAAGGTACTAGTATTAGTATATTAAAAAGAAATCATCCCAAAGTTTTGAACCGCATATTATAAAATGCAAAATATGAAAATAGAAATAGAAACCAGAGCTAATAAAGACATCACTAATTTAATCGTTATATAGTTTTTCACAAAGTAAACTCATATTTTCACATCTTGAGCTGTTGCGCTTTGAGCACTAACGCTTTTTTTTGTGACACTAACGATCACTAATACTGATTGATCGATTAAAGTAGAAAACCAAACGGATTTCGTTTGTTGGTATACCGGCGTGAAGTTGGCAGGTCCCAATAAGCCACGTTTAATTTTGAGGTAGTTTGGTACCTTTTTGGTGGGGATCCCTTGCAGCACTAACGTTCGCATGTGAAGCACTAACGAGCACTAACGTTGCTAGTTTAACTAGTGTAAAGATTGCATCGATTTTCTTAAATGGGTCTGCTGGCATGAAGTTAGCAGGCCCACAAATATTGTTTAAAAATAGTAAGTTTCCTTTTGTGCACTAACGATTTCTTCAGCGGCACTAACGTGCACTAACGGAACACTAACGATATGAGTAAGCAGAACCATGGTCTGCTGTAGTAGGCCTGCCAAGTTCATGGACATCAGAGCCTAGGCAATATACCGCTTAAATGCCATTGGCGCAGCGGAAAAGCCACATGCACACTTTGTGGAGAGGCAAAGACTAAATGACGTTGCCAGGACAAGCTGGAACCGCACGTTCGTTATCAAGTTGGATACTTATTGGCGCTGGCAAAATTTGTGGGATAGTGTGAAACTCAATGGAGTAATTCGTCGGGTTTGGAGGGAGGCTGTGGAAAAGGAACCTGAAGGAGGACAACATGTATGATGGGAGAGTGTTAGGTTTTCCAGAGGTTAGTTCAGGGGTTAGTTGGATCTAATGGAACTGTAGGGGGTGTTAGGAATAATAAAATAGTTAGTCAGGGTGACAAACATATAAACACAACATTAATAAAATGAAATGGGGTTTGATCATATTATAATTATATGAATAACTGGAATTCCACTTGGTTAAGAGAAAGTAACACGGTCACAACGGGGAAGGTTGTTGCCCAAAGGAAACTTGGGGATAACTGGATTTACTACTTCCTAAATTTGCAAAAAGTTTTGGTGTTAGCAGCAACTTTGGAGCAGTTGTAATAATAAATAACAAACATTATCAGAAAGGTGAAAGTTTTTCTGTGAGGCAATCTTAATTTAATATTAAGTTTAACAAATTTTATGCACCTTTTTGAATCCTTTCCCCGTAAGTATCTTCGTATTTATGAGACCACTCCTGAATTGTCCTTTTTAGATTACTCCACCCCAAAAAAAAATGCGATTCAAGCCTAAATTTAATGTAAATTTCGTATCAAATGTTAAGTTTCATTCAAAATGGTTTGAAAGTTTTAAGGATTAGGTACGTACTCTCCTGAGGCACCCAAAACAATACCAAAAGCTGTGAGAAGAGCATTGACATACAAATTTCAGATTTACACGTTATACTTACCAGATTCCACAGTTTGCTCCGAAAACTGAAACGAAACTGAAAGTATCGCCACTAGCACCATCGCCCTGCAAATTTGCGAAAAGTGACCGTTTTGGTAGGAAGTGAAAATGAGACCAAGGTGTGGACCGAAAAAAAAAACTAGAAATGCGGGGAACGTTCGCTGTGGGCAAACGTAAAAAAAGACTAACCTGTCCCGCAAAACATTTAGCCGAAGAAACCGAAGAAGAAATAAATTACTGAAAGTGGTTACGCAACGAGCACGTTGAACTTGAAGGACGTAACCAAAAACTTCTTGCGCGAAGCTTTGATGAGGAAAAACAACTTCCTCGCGTACGATCTTTGTTTACACCGAATTCCAATCTCTAATCCGAGTGAAAGCACTAACTTTAATTAGATTTTTGCGGTCGTCTTCACCTCGATCGAAACACCGGCCGATCGAAATCCAATCGGACACTGCCAATGTTCGAAACGTCGCGATCCTCAAAGTGTAAAATGGGACTTTCTTCGATAGGTAAAATGGAAAGTGGTCGGCCGAAATTCAGGTGAGTGGACATAATTTTAGAGCAAGATGAAAGTTATTGTGCCTGTTGTTAATTAATGGACGAGCCGCGCGACCCCTCCTTTTTTAACGCACGTTATGGGCCCGACAAGGAAAGGAGATCGGGGTAAATGCTCTGCTGCGTTTTTCATTTACTTTCAAAGAGTCTTTTCCTTTCATTTTAAAATAAAATCGGAAGATATAAATACGGTGGCGAGTCAATAAGAGAACTAAATCTCGCACTGACTTCGGAGAGAGGTGTGCGCCAGTTTTGGGATTAAGTGAGTTTTTTCGTCTGTACAATGATCAATAGTCTCGCGGTAAGTTTTTTGGTGATCAGTTTTTTTGGATAATCACGCGTGACTTTTTTTAGTTAACTTCCTTGGGTTTAATGGCGGTCGTCCATATGTGCGTCGCCGGAGGAGGTGGAGGGTAACTATTGTGATCGTGAGGGTTTTCGCATGTGTTGTAATGTGGATTACTTGCAGTGAACACAAGAAGGTGATCATTCACGTGCCGTACAAAGTAAAAACGATCCATCATACGCATACGATTGTGAAGCACGTCGGAGGAGGAGGACACGGAGGTGGCGGCGGAGGTGGTGAATCGTTTAAGGTGATCGGTTTCAGTGGCGGAATCGATGAGGGGCACGTTTTTACCCAGGGAATCGGCGGAGGAGGTTTCGGTCATGGCATTGGGGGTGGCTTCGGAGGCGGTTTCGGAGGAGGGTTTGGCGGTGGATGGGCTGGTGGAGCTTCTGATGGGGGTATTGGCGGAGGACATGGCCCCGCGCTATTAGCCAGTCATGGTGGAGGAGATATCGGTGGTCATGGCGGAGGTGCAGAATTAGGGGGCGGATATGGAGGAGGATTTGAAGGCGGATTGGGGGGTGGTCATGCTGCCATTTCGTCAGGAGGTGACTACGGCGGCGGATATGAAGGAGGTTATGGATCAGAAGGAGTCCAGGCTATCGGTGGTGGAGGTGATGAACACCATGGATACGACTAACAAGAAATCACTCACACCTCAAACGTTTACTAGTCTAACAGTATAATTTTGTACATTTTTGTTGATTTTAAAAGTTATTTATTACTGTCCTTTTTTTTAAATAAAACATAGTCCCAGATGAGTGTTTTGTTTTAAACAAAAATATTTTGCAAAATGAAATTGCTTCTTTCTCCGAACTAATTAGTGCAGGGTCGCAGCCTGCATGCCGCATGCCGCAGTAGAAATTTAAGCTTTCATTGATGAAGCCCGCACAGAGGAAAAGATATTGATAGTTGTTCTCATGAAGTGGGCCGTGGTGCGACAGCGAGATCGTTATCATGGGCACCGAGCAAGAGGATAGAACGAAGAGTTGGTAGGAAATTCAGGAAGAGGACCACAGATCCAGAAAAGAAGATGCACCCAGGGAGAGGCGGTGCTTTTACTGCAGAGAAGCGGTGCATCTCCGGGATAAATGGCACAATAACAAAAAAATAAATGTTATATGTGTGATGAGGTGGTAGGTCACTTCCCTTAGACTATGTCGTGCCCCAAATAACATCTGCTAATCTAGTCAGTTCTAACAAAAATTCGGTAGTGTGCGGGTGTTACCTCCCTCGTAATGACGGTTTCGACACACTTCAAAAGGTCATAGATGAACTTACGCGTGAGTCAACCGGCGGAAGACGAGGCCTCCTGCGTGAGATTTTAATGCTCATTCTACGAGGCGGGGGTCGACACCAAGGGAATGGGAACAGAAGTAGAGGACATGGCGGTCCTGGACGTACTTCAATCATAGATGTAACCTTCGCCAGCGCAATCACAGCAAACCAGTAGCTGGAAGGTGGAGGAAGAGGAGTCCCTCAGTGACCTCCATTACAATATCTGGATTGTAGATGGTAGGACACTTCTGAAACCTAAGGCTCCCAACAACCAATAGGAGGCCATTCGGGATGGCAGGAAGTTAAATGTCGAAAAGAGGAGGGGGATCTTGGAAAAGAAAACTGAAGCAGCTGCTTATAAAATGGGCAGACGAGGTCTTTCCAAGGGAGTTAAAAAACGAGCAACTTACTGCTGGGATGAAGAAGTGGCCGCGGAGAGGAAAAGGTGTAAACCCAGGAGGCGGGATTATGGTTTTCGTAAAGGTAGAGGAACAAGGGAAGCGCGTCGACGCATGCTGACGAAGAGAATAGTGCAAGCGAGGCAACCTTCGGGGGCAAAATTTACACTGCGGATCCACGGAAGGGTACGGTGCTGGGGCCAATTTTGTGGAATATCGCTTATGACCCTGAGCTGAAGGCGACCGTGGCGAGAGGAGTGCACAAAATTATGTACGCGGATGACCTAACGATAGTAGCTGCCGACCGAAAGAATGGAACCTCGAAGAGGATCGAAAGGTCTACAAAATTTATTCGGGATTTGTGGTGGCCTGAGAAAGAGCCAGAAAAGGGTCCTGTCAACAACGTGGTAGCATTGATCCGATCAAAGCGGTCGTGGTGCCTTTTCCCAGAAGGAAGAAGCTAAACATAAGGGCACCCACTATGGGTGGCACCACCATCGATCTTAGGTGATAAAGGAGAGAAAAGGAAGCAGGTGTTAAAGGGACAAAACAACGCGCCAAGGAATTATATCATCCAACGGATGGTTCCAGTCCGCAGTTTCAGGATTTCCTTTCTCCGTATCATTGTAACGAAGCCGTTCCGACCTTGTTATTGTTTCACCAGCTACGGAATCATTCTGTTTACGAGGTACAGTGATCCGTTACCCGAAAGGGACGTGTAGAAAGAATGCGCGATGTCAAAGTATAAGAACGAGTCTTCCAACCTGTTAGTGAAGGGGGTGTGAACAAAGTGAGAGGAAAGGGCGCACTAATAAAGGATACGTTTATAGATGTGAAGAAAGGATGAGTGATAAAAGAAGCGTAAAGGAATAAAACCTGAAAAATGGGGAAGAGAAGGTCCTTTCAGTAGAGAATGTGTAAAAGTTGCATGAGTGCAAAACATGTGATGGCATGGAGCATCAGAAAAGAGACATGACGAGTACTCATGGAAGATACTTGAAAGAGAGAGCATGATAAAATAAAGTATTCAAGAGCTGTGTCGGAATAAGGTATTTGTGAGTTGTGAAGGAACGTATCGAGAAGAAGCGTAAAGGTAGCCTCAAGAAGATGTAACCTGGATAAAGGGCGACGTGGGATTACGTAACACATAGCACGGAGGGGGGGGGGGAGCAGAAATCGAAACAGAGAAGGCAGAGGACGTTAAACAGAACATAACAGGTGACAGAGGGTACAGGAAACATGATAGAGAGCGCGAAGAGGAAGGTAGAATGCGGAGATAGGGTGTGTAGACGAGTCGGAGGACAGTGATGAAAGAGGACAGAAAGCAAATGGCAGAGGGTAGTGAACAGCTGATGGTAAAGAATTGAGGGCAGAAAGCAGAAGAAGAGTGCATTGGAGAGTAGACACAGGACATGGAAAAAGTAGCAGAGGCTATGGCGCAGAGCAGAAAAGTCAGGCGGCGGGTAACAGACGATGCAAGGAAGAGGATATATAAAAATAGACTGAAGGCAGAGTACAAAGGGCGGAAGACAAAGAACAAGGGACCAACGTAGAGGACGAGCATAATATGATGGATAGCAGGAAGTAGATGAACGGTGACAGAAGCTAAGAACTGAGGAGAGAGTGCCAAGAACCTGGAAAACGAATGGCAAAGATTGGAACTGAGGACATGGGAGAGATGCCAGCGCACAGAGAATTGAAGATAGAGAACTTTTGAAAGGGCACGGGGCCGAGGAAATATGCTAGAGGAGAAATGATAGGATGCAGTGTGGGGAGCGAGAGAAGTCATAAGGCGCGGTACAGCTGTAAAGCATTAGAAGTGATAATTGGAAGGATGGAAGAGAGTTGGTAGGAGAGGACACAGAAGACAGAAGAGCAACTAGGGGCGACGAAAACAAACGGGGATACAGAGCAGACGAGAAATCACATAGGGAGGAAGGCAGGGGGCCAAGTACGTTTGAGAGGTGGAAAAGCGCGTAGGGTAGATTTCCGGAAACAAGAGAGATGGCATGCTACAGCAGTGTGCAGGGATTAGAAGAAAGACTTTAGAGAAGGAGATATAAGGAAGGGGGACCTCAGGCAAACAACAGATAAACGAGGACTTAGTGCAGAGTAGAGGTCAGAGGGGCGGAAAGTGAGGAAAAAACAAATACTAGTTCCTGGCATGACTGGAGGGAGAAAAAGAGGTAGAGAAAGCCAGGGGAGTGTACGATGTAGTAGAGAGGGCCACCAAAAAACGTATGGGAGCTAAAATTAACACAGTTGAAACATACGCACCACCAGACGAGAAGGAGAAGGAGTTAAAAAGACAACTGAAAGAGTACAAGAAGAGGATAAGATATTGCGTGGACGGAAATAGATCTAAGCCTAGCACCCCGACATGTTTAAAGGTTGCATGGGAAAGGTCGCGCTAATAGTGAGCGGGAGAAGAGTACCAATAAACAAGGTCCACTCCGGAAGGAATTATGCATGGGCGGAGTAATAGCTTCTAGCTCTCTTGAGCATTATGGCTCAATGGTAGAGCGTTGAGTTATAAATCCGGAGGTAGGGTATTCGAACCTGGGTTGAGGTGAATTTTTCATCTGTGGCAGAGATGGAAATTACCTTAGACCAGTTTCGAGCATTCTGCCGTCTACTCCGAATCAGGTTTTCCTGCAGTTTTCCTAATTCGTAAGGTAAATACCGGAATAGTATAGAACACCTTAAGACCTTCTGCAGAGGCACCTCTAAATAGCATTATGCGGGTCACTCTGTAATTGGGCGCAAGCCTGTTGAGGACCCAGAACAAGAGAGGGATAATAAATAAATAAATAAACAAATAAATAAATTGAGTCTGTTCCAGCTACGATACCATTATACACATAAATTCCAATGATAAGTTTTTGTTCACCCCTTTCTCGAATAAATAAGCATGGATCAGCATTACTGACCTTGAATTCATGTTCATGAAGAAAACTCCCAGACGTTTGTTCCAGCATCTTGGCGCTTGTTTGAGATCGTAGAGACTTCTTTTCAGTTGGCAGACGTTGTTGGTTCCATCTTCATATCCTTGGGGCTGTTTCATGAAAACTGTTTCTTCAGGATTTCCGTACAGGAATGCTGTAGAGACGTCAAATTGCATCAAATTCATGTTTTCACTTGCTGCAATGCTAAGAATCGATCGGATTGTCCCCATCCGGGCGACTGAACTGAAGGTTTCACTGCAATCGCTACCATGATGCTGACTGAACTCCTTGACGGCTAGCCGCCCCTTGTACTTGTCGATGCTACCGTCAGGATTTTTCTTAAGTCGGAAGACCAACTTGCATTGAATTGTCTTTGCACCAGGTGGAAGATCTGTCAAAATCCAGATCTGGTTTTCTTTCAACGAAGCGATTTCACGATCCATGGCTTTCTTCCACTCTACAGAATCACTTCTTTTTAGGCCATCTTTAAACGTCTCAGGATCCTCGGTCACTAGATTTACAAACTCCTCCACCAGCATGGAATATGGTTCCAGATGTTGGGGTTTCCTCAAGAGCCATCTATTCCTCAAGATTCTTTCAGAATTCTTCTGAAAATATTCTTGTTTTTCCGTCTTAAATTTTTCTTCTTCTACATCCACTTGTAGCTCATCGTCACTGTCATCTTCTTCTGTTCCTTCATTGTCTTCTTTTATTGGAAACTTGACTTGATTTTCACATTCTTTAATTTTTTCTTGAAATTGAACATCTCTGGAAAGAATGACCTTGTGATCATTTGGAATATAAATTCTGTAACGCTCATCACCATCATATCCAACGAGTAATCCTTTACTTGTTTTCTTGTCCATCTTCTTTCTCTTCTCACCAGGTATGTGAACATAGCAGACAGATCCAACAACTCGTAGATGTTTTATCCTTGGTTTCTTCCCAATCCACAGTTCATAAGGACTTACCCCTTTTTTTGAAGATTTTCTTGTTCTATTTAACACGTAAATTGCTGTCCATTACCAACTCTGCCCATATAGAATCTGGAAAATCAACTTCATTGTTTGAGTACTTGAAGGTTCTGGCCATTTCGATTGTTGTTCGGTTCTCACGTTCACTGCCTCCACTTTGATCTGGTGTGTAGGGCGCTGTCAGTCTCTGAGTGATTCCGTTCTCCACTAGGATGGTCTTAACCTCTTCACAGTCGAATTCACCACCATCATCACTGAGCAGTTCTCCAATGCTGTGCCCAAGGATTTTTGCGTGTGCTAAGAACTTTTTTTACACAATGCGCACACCTGATTTATGTTTTATCACAAAACCATAACGAAATTTTGTGTAATTGTCTTTAAAAATCCAAGAAATCGTTTTTTTTTACTGAAGGATTCACAAAATGGGCCTACAACATCAGTAGAAAAAAGTTCACCAGGTTTCCTTGCAGTTACTCGAGTACCAAACGGCAAGCGATGCGCCTTTCCAAAAATACAGGGCTCACAAACCTCTTTCACTAGCTACACGGTGATGCCTAACTCTCTTTTGCGCATCTCTCTCACGTGTCGCTTGTCTTGGTGCCCCCATCTTTCATGATAGAGTTGCAGCATTGAGTTTTCTACTTCAACGATGTTGACTCCCTCTGCTCTCTCAGGAATCACTGATTCGATGGCTGCCTTGTACAGCCTCCGCCTTTTTCACGACCTCCGCACAGGACAGTTTTTCCATTCACTTCTAACCAGCACTTGGTCGCAGTGGAGTAGAACTTACTGTTTTCATTTTTATCTTGAGCTGCTAAAACAGAAAAAAATTTCTTCAAATCTTTGGAACATACCACACATCAGTCATGATCATTTTTAGAGTGCTTTTCTCAGTGAAAGAAGAAATTTCAATTGTTCCCTTTCCAATGGCTTTGAGCACTTCTTTTCCAGCAGCCTTTATGACGCAGGGTGATTGAAATTCTTGAAACTCAACAAACTGGTCCGGAGATTTCGTCAAGTGCTTTGTGGTTCCATTGTCGATCCACCATCCTGATGAAGTCTCTTTCACTTGAAGAATATCTTCACTCACACTACAAAGGGCTAGCTACATTGGAATCCACGACGTTGGTCTGATGTACTTTCTTCTGTGGTCGTCCATCCGCAATCCACTTTTTGCACGTTTTTATCCAATGTCCCTTGTTTTTGCAATAATTACAAATATCATTTTCTTTTGACCTCTTTGATTTTTGGTATGTTTTGGATTTTCCGTTTTTACAAACAATGCTTCTCCAGTGGCGCTGTCTGTGACCTTTCTGAAATTTCTTTCGTACATACACAATTGGGTCACTAGTTCATCAGAGGTTTTTTCTTCGTTTTTCGACAACATCCAACTAGATCTGAAATTCTAGAAATCGTCTGGTAAAATTTGCAAAACTTTACAAACAAGAAGTAAACCAGGCAGTTTCTTCCTTGGATTTTAAACCATTGTTAAGCTCATTCCATCAATTTCTCAATTTAGCAACGTGGGTTGAAACATCCTCTCCATTAATCCAACTGAACGCTAAAAATTCTGTGAATATCTTAAACAGCTGATCTTTGGATGACGCCTCAAAATTCAATTTTAACGCTTCCCATGCATCATGCGCTGATTCTTTATCCATAATCTTTTGATAAACTGTGTCCGACACTGAGCTCGATATCATGGATTTTGCATAACTATTCCCCTTATGAAATAAACCACTTGCCTTTTTGTGATTAGCTTTGACCCTATCATATTGTTCGCTATCTGACAAAGTCTCTGGTTTGCAAAGCTTTCCGTCAATGACGTCCAGGGTGCCCTGATATGATAGCAAGTCACGCATTTTTCTCTTCCAAATTGGTCAGTCTGCCTCACCAGCTAGGGGTTTGATGTGTTTCGCCAAATCCATTTCTTAAAAAAATGTGTAATGACGAACCTCTACAACAAACAAAACTTCGCGACTCGACTTTGTACTTTTGGATTCCCACGTGCGATTTCTTTATTCAGACTCTTTTATTAATCTGAGCCCATAACGTATTAAAGTTATTTAATATACCCAAAAAGCACAATTAGAACATGTATCTATTCTTTTTATGAAAAAGAATACAATTCTACAAAATTGACTGACAGAATATATTATTCATTCTAAAACACGCCAACTTCTAAATATAATTTTTGTTTAAAATGGCAATTAACATTTTTACTTTAACAGATGCACTTACCAACTTTCCTTCTGCTTTTGCAACAAGCCATTGAATGGACGGTTCCACCGAAGACATTTTATTTACAAACTACGCGTCGTGCCATTAAACTCGTTGCGCGTGCTTTGAAGACATGATTATACACTTGCTTCTTAATATACTATTTTTAAACAAATTTTCAGTTTGCTTACAAATCACTTTAAAGTATGAGTTATATTTATTGCATGGTAAATTAGCCCTCCAAATCTTCACATTGCGGGACACTTAAAAGTAAAACGGCATTCCATAGAAATGTGAGTTGAACCATAAACACTAAATGATGGTATTTTAATCATTGTATAACGGGAAATGTGTACACCTTTTACAATTTGGAATTTTATCTATTGTGATTTGAAACGACGGATAGTTTAATGATCTTCAATCTCTGTTTTAAATGGCCGAGAACAAAATTACCAAGTTCCGCCTCCCCAACGAGCGTCTTTGAGGAAACAAACACACAATTAAAATTTTAATTTATTACGCTTACTTAGACTTAACAAATAACAGACTGAACAGCATTCAGAAGATTAATAGGAGGAGATCAGTACGTTAAATTAGACCTGAGAACGAAGAAATTCGACTATAAATTTTAATTAATCCCAGTCGGATACGCCACCATGCCCACCGGAATCATGTCCCTTGTGATGTATCGTCTTGTACACGGTATGGGTATGCTTTATGGTCTTCACTTTATACGGTACATAAATCTTGACGTATTTACTGAAAGAATGCGTTTTTTTTTCAACTTTGGGTACTAATCTACTTACTCTTCACCGGCGTATCCCACTGACAAAGCGCCCAGCAAGCAGATAACGAACTAGAAAGTAGCAATTAGAGGCAGATCAGGGCACAAACAAACACAATTTACCAACAAATCCAGTTTCATATCGGCGATTGATACCAAAACGGCTTCTTCACTGTATTAGTGTCGACGATTTGTACGTGTTTTATTTATTGGCCTCGTTGAAAACAAATAGTGGAGTGGGAAATTTTTGTTTTTCTTCTATTACTCTTACAATGTGTATTATTTATATTGAGAAAATGTTGGGCAACTCGAGCGGAACGAGTGAAATTTCACTCTCTCCGGTCGCGGCAGAATCATACGAAACGGGAATTAGCGAGTGAGAAAAAAAAACTTTCATAGAGGAAAATTATAGGTTTGCAAATCGATATTAGCAGCTCATGTGCATCCCTTTCTTCTCGAGCGAGCTCGAGTTATTTGGGTTTCTGCTAATGTGCGTGTCGCTCGAAAAAAAAGAGTGCGGCGCTTCCGGTTTTCTAGGCGAATTAAGTACCGGTTTCGTTGATCATCGCACGCACGTGATGCAACCGGATATGCAGTTGTCGGGAAAAGTGAGTGTATCAAATCGGCAGACGCTTTTCTCTTTCTTAGTGTAAGAAGATCACTTAACACTTGACTAATTCTAGTCCACTTCACTTCAAATTGGCGATGAGACAAGGTAGTGGTCCATGTACAGATCCATGCGGAACACAGACATGGGGTGGGGAATTTTGTGGTAATTTAACAATAAGGGTATTAGGTACCACCAAGTTCATTAAAGCTAGACAAGGAAGTCTCATTGTCCATTTGGAATTGTGGAATCCTGTATGGATTCGTCACTGAATGGGCAGTTTGTGCCACTTTCTGCGAGTGAATGATCAGTAAAAATGTGGTTCTCTATACTGGAATTTCTGGAAAAAAGTTAACTTGAGTAGCACAGGGACCATACAGGTTGACGTTCAAAATTAGAGACAAGCTGAAATTTGGCAAAATACTTTGTTTTAAGGTATTAACTACCGTCTGAAACCCCATCGCCGATGCTTTGAGCCCGTCATTCCAAAACCACCCCCTAAATGGCGTAAAATCCACCTTTTTAGTGATCTTTTACTTTTAAAAAATAAAAAGTGCACTTTTTCGATCTTGATGTCTCTGTCTGTCTGAGTCACAAAAGCTCCGGAGCTACAGCACTTACATACTTGGTATTGGTGTCATTCGATCGAAATAAAGAATTATTTCATGTTTGTATTCTTCTTAAGGCATGAAAATAATAAGGGCTATTAAAATCGAAAAAACAAATTTGAAAGTGCACTTTTCGCGTCTTGCTCACAAGCGGCTTAACGAATTTTTTTAATTTTTTTTAACTAAACTAAGCATTTTAAGAAAAATGTCAAAGGAGAACAATTATAGAGAAGAAAATTAGCTACCACATACGTATACATCAAATTTTTTAGATTTTGTGTTGCAAATTTCAGCAACTCATTCAACTGCTTAATCCAAATACTACATGGTATATTATTTTTTAATATTACCTACTATTAAACGCCGGAAACTATTCACAAAGGTTGCCTAAAGCATGATGAATTGAATACTGGGTCCTGTAAGGAGGTCTTCGAAGTGACCCCCCCCCCCCAACTCTAAACAGCCTCCATCACTCCAATCGTGGGTGTATCGGCTTGTCCGGCACCTCATTCTCCGTAGTCCGTTTAGTTCGTACCTACTTGCAGTCAGGAGCGTTAACCTGCCCCATCCCCCACCCCCCTTTCAAATTTGATGTCGTATTATTATAAGGTAATGCACTCACATGCGCCACCGATAATAACTCTTGCGCCATTATCGTTTTTTAGAAATCTGAAAACACATTTGAGAGGGGGAGTATATGTAGCACTCCCCCCCCCCCTACTATGTATTTTGTCGCTGGTATCTATGCCATCTGATACATCTGGCTATGCGCTCAACTGCGCCACTTGAATTAATATGGCGCCATCACGGTTAAGCCATGACAAAATTTTCAGAAAAAGGGGGGAGGCAACTTAACGTTTTTAAAAGTTACTTTTTTCTATCATGTTATTACAGGGTGGTGTTTTTAAGTGGACCATTAGAAGTATCTCAGGAACGGTTTGGAATTTTAATTCGGTCCCATTACCTTTTTTGAATAATCGATCAAAAGGAATCATTTAAACTTTTCCGGATGCATCAGAACAATACCGGAACATTCTTATTGTAAATGACACTATCTTTTCTGATGATATTTTTGAATTCCTCATAAAAAATCAGTATTATTTTGGAAATATGATGATGCTATGTCTGACTGAATGGTTTCGAAGTTTCAAAGTTTGACATTTTTGACATTTTTTATTTTTTTGCAGTTTCAGAGGTTCAGTAAATTAGCCATATCGCGGTTATCTGACAACTTAGCAAAATGTTTTTTTACGAATGGACAGGTAAAAATCCACGCTATTAAATGTTATTGGTCTGATTTTCAAATGTAATTCGAAAATAACACGAATAATCATTCAAAGTTGACAATCGGTTTTTGGTCAAAAACTTGAAATTTTCAAATGGAAACCATATCTTTACTATGCATCAATGGAAAGAGCATAAAAAAGGACAAAAAAACATACTATAAAATATACTATACTATACTACACAGTGATACTATACAGTTTTTTTTAGTTTTTTTAGAAAAATTTTGCAAGTACAATTTTTTATCCGAAAGCAAACTTTTGGGCGGCTGAAGCCGATTAGCCCTCCAAGACGCGCGCCTTGCAAAAGGTGGTTTATTTCGCCTCTTCGAAAAAAAGGTCTTTCCGACGACACCAATTTGAAAACAATCGGACTCATACAAAGAAGACGATAGAAAAACACTGAAAAATCGGAGACTGGGAGATGGCGACCAGACCTTGTAGCCCCGCCCCTACGTTGTTCATTACATGGCCCTGGTAGGTACATGTACACTTGTACAGGGTGAGTCAACGATTGCGCGGAGTAACTTAATTAATGCCTTGAAGATAAGATTTTTCGATAGAGTGCTTTTGTATTATGATATGGTTGAATATTCTCAACATTTTAAAAATATTTGAAATTATACAGTGTGCGCCCACAAAGTCGGGCGCCCAAATGGTACATTTTTTAAAAAATAGAACCCCCCTGTATTTGAATGCATTTTTGAATTCTACGTGTAATTGTCTTTTTTATTATTTGGTTAATATCCGAAAAGCAAGTAGTGTAAAAGATGATTTGATTTTTAAGAAAAATTGAGCATTTGCAAGCGTGAGTAATTCAGTATATATTGTCAAAATTATTACTTAAATTTAGATTCCAGGTTTTATATCTTTTATCCTGGGTTAAGTAAAAGTCAAATAAATGGATCTACTATGAAACATTCAAAATATAGCTTACAGGGTGTTTTTTGATAGGTCCAAGGTTGCAGAACTTCATATTAAAAATCTCACTTTTTTTAAAGGAACACCCTGTATATTTTTCTGTCATCATTTAGCTCCTCCAAAAACCTTCAACTTTTGATAATAATGTCCTATACCTATCGCTAATAGTTTTCGAAATATCTTGGTTTTCCTGGGTTTTATATTCTAATCTTAAAAATAAGTTATATGTAATTTACATAATAGTGAGGTGGCCATGCAAAAAAAAGGCAAGTTCCCATACCACAACCAGGGCATCTTTTTCGGCGGTGGAGTAATTGCACTCGGCAGGTGTGAATAGGCGGTTCGCATACTCACTGGTCGCTCTTCTTCCTTTTGGCTTTGTCGTAATATGGACTAGCCAGTTAGAAGCGTGAGAAAAGAGTTTTTATGTTCCGGGCCCCATGTCCATGTTTCATCTTTCTTTAACAATGCCGTGAGTGATTTTGCGAAGGCTGGTACAAATGGTCCATACCAAGAGAATGTCCGTACGAAGAGGTCCCTTATGTTCCTGGGTTCCGTGAGTTCAGCGATGGCCCCGGTTTTATGTTGGGTCTGTGCTGATGCCTCGGGAGTGATTATGGGTCCCAGGTATCGGATCTGCTCCTTTGCGCAATGACACATCTTACCCCGTGCCCTCCGGTTACAAAGGCGCAGGCAAGTGTGGACGGCAATGAGGTTCGGTAGATGGGTCGGAAAATCACCTTTGGTAGGACGATTATTAGAGTATCTTTACGTGATCCATGGGACGCGGGATGGCAAATGGGGCGTTCCGTAGCCCATATGACATTCTTTTATAATGGTGTAGTCCCAGAGGGGATATAAAGGCAGTTTTATCCCTGTTGGCAGGGTAGGCGGCGACTTGCCAATAGCCGGTCTACAGGCCGATAGTTGACATTACTAGAGCGTGGGCGTCGTGGAGGAGGTCGTCGATGCGTGGCAGAGGGATTTAACTTCCGGTAATCGACACAGAGGAGGGTGGATCCGTCCGACCACAGGTGAAGCCCATGGGGATTAGCACCCTTCTATGATGATTTGCGACACCTCGGACCTGGAGGATCTGTCGTTTGGCGGTGTTCACACGGTATAGTAATGCGATCGGTTGACAGGACCTCGAAATGGTATGTACTTCCAGTGATGTTGGCGTTCACACTGCAAGGAAGGTGTCCCTCTTTCTCTGGAGCAGGGCGTGAACATCGTTTTTTTCATCCTTTGAGAAATGGGTAGCCTCTTCGGGGCGCAGACTGTTATCTCCTATCTCCACCATAAAGAGGGAGTCGGTGTGTCTGGTTCTCTTCCTTGGCCAGTGGGGAAGGATTGCCGGTGACGGAGGAGGTCTCAGTGGGGCGGCAGGCTCCACTGGGCGGGTGTCGGCGAATATACTGTACAAATTAGCGTGTATGGTATCTTCCCAGTCTTGGTGGGCGACTAAATCGACTTGAACCTTTCCCGAACAGGTGGAGGTTTCTGTACGCCTGTCGTCTTTAGTCGTCCGGATAGAACGGGTGGCGGCGCGTACCCCGATGAATAACCATTGCCCTTTCGGCAGGTTTAACAGGATTCTCGCATCTTTTATGAAGTCGACACTTACGAGGACGCGGTTTCGGGCTCCCGAGAGGTGGGATCGCTCGGTCTATTAGAGTGGTTGGTACCGTGGCGGTTAGGAGGGCGGTGGATCTCGATATTCCATGAGCCAACACTAAATTTACGTCTCGC